ACGAAAAAATCGGGTGAGACGGGTGGTCTGGGACACCCTGTATATAAAAAATTAAAAATTATATACAGAAAATACAAAAATATTAGATGTATAATTAATTCCTGCCGTTTTTCGCAAACTTCGATTCTATTTCTCAATAAGATAAATGTATTAATTAATCATTGAAATATTCTCCGTTAACATCGATGACCTTACGCTATCTAACGGGCAATTTTCGGATTTCATCGCGATAGAAACTTGGTGGTTTTGAAGCGATGAATTTATCGACGAAATTTCGAACGTCTTCAATTGAGTCAAAGTGTGTATCCGATAAGGAGTGTTGCGTCGACCAAAACAAGTGGTAGTCTGCAGGGACTGTCTGGCGAATATGCCGCATGAGGAAGAATTTCCCAGTCCAAATTTAAGATGGTTTCTTTCATGGTTTCTGCTGTGTGCAGCTTAACGTTGCCATGGAGCAAGATGACTTTACGACTGCTTTGTCCAGTAAATGACCATTTTTCCTCAATTGTATCGCTCAAACGAATTAATTGTTATTGGTAGAGTTCTGCTTTAATTATCTGATCTGGAAGAGCTCATAGTATAGCACACTTTTCTGGTCCCACCATATGCAAAGATGAACTTTCTTGCCGAAGCGTTTAAGTTTTACTGTTGATGTCGTCGATTGACCAGGATCCAGCCATGATTTTTTGCGTTTATTTAATAATATTATACATCATTCATTTTTCATCGCTAGTTATGATTTTATGCAAAAAATCCTTTTTTCGTACTCTGTCGAGCTTTACTCTGACGAGCAAAGAAATGCGCGTGGTCAACCGACGATTTTTGTTGTCAGCAATCGGCTTATGTGGAACCCACCTTCCTTTTTTGTGAATTTTTCCCAGATGGTGTAATCGAATCGAAATCGTTGGTTGCATCACTCCAAGCTGCTCGGCAAAGTTTTTTGTTTTTGAGTTAGATTCTCATTGATTAGTGAATGCAATTCATCATTTTTAAACTTGCGAAGCTGTCCAGCACATAGTTGATCGTCAACACTGAACCGTCTTAAAATGATTAAACCATTTTCTGCACGTTCTTTCACTTACTGCACCTTCTCCGTAAGCGGAACAAATAATTTCGGCTGCCTCAAAAGCGTTTTTATTGAGATTAAATGCAAAACGCATACAATATCAAATATACTTTTTATTGTTGGTCATGATGTTCATTAATGATGTTTAAGGTTATGTTGCCTAAATGTCAAACTATATGGCAAATTTTAATCTGGAATATCAATACTTTAAAATAGCAGAAGGGTATGACAATAACTTAAATTCAAATGATTTATATTGCTGTGCAAAGTTGGGCGACACGAATTAATTAATATACCTATTTTATAAAATATCAAACATTTTTTCTATAAAAAACTTTAAAATTATTTAATATTTAATAAAAAACTCAATTTTATTTTTTGTAAAAATGTTTTCATCAGGAGAAATAGCAAATTTATTGATAAAAATTAATATTCATTGATATTATCGATGTCGTAAAAAGAGAATCTATTAATTACAGGATTATTTATAAAAAATGAGTTATACAATTATTTTTGAGTGTGTAATATCCATTTGGAATGTCTTTATCCATCTTTCAATATTCAATCTTTCAGGAAGGTAATACTCTTTGGCCTCAAGATACCAATGGGAAACTTATTGGATCGAATGCTGATTATTTAGAAACATGGAGAGGAATGGAAGAGTGCGTTCGTCAAGGCTTAACTCGGAGCATTGGAATCAGTAACTTCAACTCAGAGCAAATAACACGTCTGCTCGCCTCAGCTAAAATTATGCCAGTTAACAATCAGGTATATATTCTAGAATTATCGCACCTTTTATCAACCAAGAATATTAATGTATAAATTAAATTGAGATGAGATGATTAAATTGAGATTCTTTATTATATCAGACATGATAACGTTTTGTTCTAACTGCACGCGCGAAGTTACAAGTTCGGCCGTATATATTTACGCCACGCAACTAATTGAGCTTGGGTAAGATTTCTTGTTCGATCATAATACTTGGACCAATAAGGTTCTGGATGGGCTCAATCGATCTCTTCGGCTTATACAGGGCGGCCCATTTTAATCTAACCACTCAAATAACTCACTGGGAATGACCTAAATAAAAAAAAGTTTCGGGACAAAAGTTTCCTATTTTGGGGGGGGGGGG